TGAGAGCTGTTCAGCAGTGGAACTCTCTACCTCAGAGTGTGGTGGAGGCTCCTTCTTTGGAGACTTTTAAACAGAGGCTGGATGGCCATCTGATGGGTATGATTATTCCATTCTTGTCTACAAAGTTTGCACTCAAGGACCACGCAATCAAGTTACAAAACAATTCACAATATTTTAAGTAAGTTTACAGTTTTGTGTTGGGACTTATTTGTAGTCATCCTGTGGTCCACAGGATGCAGGTGTACAAACCTGCTGTAAATGATATCTTTGTAACATCTTCACATGCTGCGTGTCTTCTAAAAATGACACATGTTTTTGCTAGCATTCCATATTGGCCAGTTATATAGAAACCCTTAATGACTTTTCTGACAGATATAAAATGTTTATTTAAAGTTCCCAACATTACAGAGAACAGTGAAACAACTTCGTTCATTAATTTGGTAGAGGACACAAGCCAGGCAGATGACCGCTTTCCTGCTTCCATTCATTCTGTCATTTCTAGATAATTTAGTAAAGTGCTAGGGGTTATGCCAACAAAAAAGGATATATGAACTATACACCTTTGCAAGGCAACTGTGACTAAGATTCTCTGTATTCTCTGAGCCGGGAGTTTCCTTTCTTGTGACAACATTGCACAAGAATAAGAAAAGTATAAATGTTTTTTTTTAATGCAAACCTGTTAAAGTACAAACTTCATTGAATAAAACCTTCCCTTAGTTGTACAAACATCTGTGCTAGACTAGAGATTATTTTTCTTACTTTCAGATTCTTTGGAACCAATTATAGTCTGTAATTCCCAAATCAGTTGTACTTTCATCCTAAAATTGATATGCAACTCCCCCCTCTCATTTATTAACTTTCACTTGGGTTCCCTTTATCCATTTGCAAAAATGCCTTCCAACAGGCTTTTGATGTCTTTTTGGTGTTCTGTAGCACTACCAAAAGATCATTAACATTTGCAATTTTTTTATCACCATACATTTGCGGATATTTTGTAATAGAGGTATTAGAACAAATATATAATGATCTGTAAGAATGGGGAAGTACAATAAGCTAATAATCTGTAGTTAAATCATGTTACGTTTTTAGCCGGAGCTCATTTTTAGCTCCGATTAACAAATTCTCATAAATTGTTGTATATACAAGAAGAAAATGAATAGGTAACCTGAGTCAATGTGTTTATCTACTCCTGGGTAGTTTCTACCATTTTAAACTCTTGTTCTTGCTGCATTTTGCTATCATGAGGAAAATAGACAATCATAGTTGAAGCTGTGGAATAGAATTGAAAACAGAACTGAAAATTGAACTGAAAAGTAATTTTGCTTTGAAATGTTTCGCAAATGTAGACATTAAGTGTGAAATGAATGCAGCTAATGACCATAGCAGGAAGAGTTATGCACCTGCTGATCAGAGGAATATTATTATAAATGAGGTTGATTTTTCCTGTTGACTACCTCATTCTTTCTCAATGTGGTCTCATTATTTTTCTATCATATGTCTGACCCCTTAGATATGAAGACTCAAGTATCAACATAATAAAAATACATTAACTTCTGTGGAGTTTTTCAGACATTTTCTGATTCTATGAAACATATAGTTTTGTGTTTTCTCAAAAGGGGCTGCTTTTTTCCTTGCAAAAATAAAGATTTAATTTCCTGTGATTTGTAGCTTTTCAAAATCAAAGCAGCCTTGCAACTACAGCTTACAGTAATCAAATATGTGTTCTTGGAATTTAAATTATGAAGTACGTTTCCATGAGCAGTACATAATTACTGTAAGAGCATGTCCAAATGGAATTTACCATATATTCACATATACAATGAAAAAAAATCAATAAAAAATCAACCCCAAAAATCTAGGTTGATTTAATCACAGGTCAATGTAAGGTGCAGAATTCACCACCATGGGAAAATGGGAGTAGTACTAGCTCTTTGGTGCTTCCCCACCAGGACAGATAGAGTAGAGAGCTTCAGTCTTTCTTCTAGGTTTTCCCAGAATGGGCTAAGCTTTTGCCACTCTACTCAGAAAAGGGGGTGATTCCTTTTTTATAAGAATGGAGGTGCAGTATTAACTCTTACCAAAAAGGGACTACCTTCTTCTCCAAATAGACTGCTGAAAGGTAGAGGGATTTTGACATGATCTGTGGATAAGTAGAGGGTCATTCTGCGGAAGAGGGGGGCAATGCCACCACCATTTTCCCACCCAGGTTGAGCCATACAGGTCTTGACCTACAAAGCCCTGAACTGTTTGGGACCCTCCTACCTGCGCGACTGTATTTCCATCTACAAACCCACACAATCTCTTCGATCTTCTGGAGAGGCTCTTCTTTCGCTCCCGCTTGCATCGCAAGTGTGACTTGCGGGGACGAGAGAGAGGGCCTTCTCTTTGGTGACCCCCTGGCTCTGGAACTCACTCCCCAGAGATATTAGGCAAGCCCCCACACTGGCAATCTTCAGGAGGAATCTGAAAACCTGGTTATTCCAATGTGCCTTCAGTGATTGAATGTAACAGTCTCACTGACCACACTTTGCACAAAATGTCATTAAAAGCACTTTATTTTATGGTTTGTACAATGAAATCCTTCCTCATTCCCGGGTTCCCCTCCTTACAATTTACACTGTCCTATCTCCCAATGTTTTTTTAAAAAATATATTTTTTATCCCTGAATCTGGCCCTGCCCAGTGAAATCTTCTGTGTTTTTAATACTTGGTTTTATATTGCTGTGTTGTATATTATATTGTTTTTGCATTTTTTGTATTTTGTTTGGTTTTATTATGCTTTGTGTTATATTGTTTGTATTGTATTGATGGGCGTGGCCTCATGTAAGCCACACCGAGTCCCCTTGGGGGAGATGGATTTGGGTATAAATAAAGTATTATTATTATTATTATTATTATTATTATTATTATATTATTGTAGTGGAGAAAGTAGAAGGAGCCAATTTTTTAAGGTGCTCCCATGGTAGACTAAGCTTTTGCCTTTTATCCTTCTACTCAGAGAAAAAGATGGTTCCTTTTTGAATAAAAGTTAATGTACAGTATAAGAATTGAGATACAGTACTTGCATTGATCCGTGGATAAGTTGACCCAGGTTTTTAAGTTGACTTTTTAACTAAAATTTCTAGACTTATACATGGGTGTAGCTTACATATTTTCAAAATTATATTAATTGTGACATTGTTTGAACTGTTTTACATTGTTTCTTTACATTTTAAATAATTAAATAGCTCAGATTAGTCTTACTGGACTTTATTCATGCCATTCTAATATAGGGTGAGATATAAATGTTTTAATACATTTAATAAATATTTGGAGGATTGCAACATTCCCACGCTTGGTTCAAACCTGAAAGAGGCAACTGTTATGGGAGTTAGGAAGCCTTTTGAAAAGCAGCATCCTTCCAAAAATTAATCAGCTTTTTTGTCCCAAACCTTGAATGACCACCCACTCCTATCCCAGCAATTTGTCATGGTCAGTTTCAGAGTTACTTCATTTAGGAAGTAAAATATACGGACCTAATTTGTTCCATGGAGCCAAAAAGTGTCAAACTTACCTCCCACACTTTTAGGGGTGTTTGAGTCCTGCAAAAATGATCCTAAGAGTACATACAGCCCATGTTTCCCCTTCTCCTGAGTTAAACAATGGTGTAACTTAATTTTTAAAAGTTACCAAAGAGCTTGGACACCATTCAATTAATATATCACACAAACAGTTGCCATCACACCTATACAGAACTAAAAGCTTGGTTGAACATTTAAAATGTATGTTTGCTTAACCAAGGTTTCTAACAATAATATTCATAAAAGGATTTACAGTTCAGTGATTTGAGGTCTCTTAGACCTGAAACGGAGCCATCTCAGGTGTGCTTCTTGTAGGTGATTTTTGTGCTGCCATGTTTATATTTTTGAAAGTCTTGGGGTTCCCCAAGCCTGCTGACATATGAATGATGTCATGAGTAGTCACTATTCATACTCTTAGCATCAGAAATATAAGGAATAATTGAACAAAGCACTTTTTAAAGGGCAAACGTTTGAGGTTGTTTTTAAAACTTTTTCCCTTAAGGAGAGAAAATACAGGCAACAGGAATTACCAGTGTGTGGATCAATAAAATAGGAAATAAATTATTTTCCAAGTCTAAAAATGCACCTTCAGGAGTAGTAGTGAGGTATATTATAGAGATAATATACCTCACTTTGAGATAAATTATAGAGAAATTAAGCCAACTTGAACACTTTGAGTCTTCTAATGGAGAGAAAAAGCGGAGTGTAAACAAACATAATAATGATAACAACAACAATAACCACGCTTTTGCAAACCATAAGAAGCTGACCATACAAAGAAATCTCTTTAGCAATCTGAGGTAAGCTCAACATCACATCACAGTAGTCTAAATCTATTAGAGATGTTTAAATTCAATATCCTGAGTTTCACTGGAGGAATAACCTGAATAGTTAGCAACAAATGTGGCTGTTATTAATTTCGATTTGGAGGTATGTGCTCAAGAAGTGAAACTGGTGTATCTATCTTTAAATGAACAAAGAGTCTGTGTAAAATGGCAGGTACATTTTTTTTTAAAAAAAAGAGAGCTTATAATGATTTTCTTTTTAGTGGGGTGACAGTCTGTTCCAAGATAACACGGGCTTAAGGAGCTGAAAGAAGCATGATTATTAAAGGCTAGTGGCTTCTCAGTTCATATAAATTGAATTCTTTCATAGGTTGAAGTGCTATGGAAATCTAGTGAAGAGTACAGAGCACTGAAATAAAATTAGCATGTAAAGTGATTTTATACATTCAGGCTTGTAGCCACTAACTTTGAATTTGAGAGAGAAATCCTATTACTTATCTTGTAAAAAAGGTAATACTTAAATTCACCACTTGCTATCCTTGATATAAAGGTTCTGCATATGAATGATAGTTTTCTGTGGTTACTGAGAGATAGTGATTTATTGAATTGATGGTGATCTACCTCTATTCCCTTCCACCCTTATGTTTTTCTTACAGGATAACTGATTTGGGAAACATTAAAAGAAGATTGTATTTATCAACGATCCATAAGGAATTGTCTGTAACACCTCTACATGCAAAAATACCTCTGTTTATGATTAAGCGCAAAATTGTAAGTATTTTTCTTACTTTTCTTAGAATACTAGTTTCTCTTGGATTGCAACACTTCTTTATTTATAACAGGTATGGGCAAACTTCGACCCTCGAGGTTTTTTGGACTTTGACTCTCACAATTCTTATGTGCAGATTTTTACCTTGACATCAGTCAAAGCAAGGAGTATCCAGAAGAGCTGTTGAATGTAGCAAGAGCAGGTTACTGGAATATCAGTAAAGAAGGAATTCAAATAATGCTGGAGCAAGTGAACAAGGCATGATAAAGCAACATGTTCTCAGCTTCAAACACTGAAGCAAAGTGTATTTGTATGCAGTGACATCTGGGAAACACTTTCACACATTCAGCTATTAAATGAAAAATCACTCCTGGGATGTCTTCATTGGAGCCTTGCTCTTCACCTTGGCCGGGCGCTGGTATCTTGCAGGTTCAGATGCCTTCTGTGACTGGGGCTCAAGGATAGGTCTGAACCCCTCTCTTCTGGGATGGGAGATAAATCCTCTCCTGAAGACACAGTCTCTGCTCTGATATTTCCAGAGGAAAGCTATAAAGAATGCCTTTGAGTTCTTCCTCTCCAGTGCAGACCTTTCTATCTAGGATATAACATTGTGACTCTCATTCTCTGAAAAGAACATCTCCAAGTGAGAGAGAAAGATATTTGTCTAATACCACTGTGCCAGCCTATTTGATATCTCTGATTACCACAGAGGATTGAAAAAGCAGCTAGCATTGTAATTTATTTATTTATTTATTTATTTATTTACTTCACTTGTATACCTCCATTCTCAGCCCTAAGGCGACTCATGGCGGTTTACAACAATCAAGCAAAAACAAGGCGAACAATCAAAGCAAAAATTCAATGCGGTATCAACAGGTACTTAAAAACAATTAACACAAAAGCATGTTAAGCAATTTACAATCATAGAAACATTCAGTGGCGTCTCATAACTAGAATCATGATCCAAACTCGTCAGTTGTAGTTCCATTTCCTGAAATTCATTGCACTGCTTATGGGCCATTACACTGCTTTAGGCCACTAGTCCATAAGGCTAGCAGAATGTTATGAAGGTCTCAAATGAAATGATGCCCCTTCCACACAGCTGAATAAAATCTCACCTTTTCTTCTTTGAACGGGAATATATTTAATTTATTTATTTGTTTGCCGTATTTATACCCCACCTTTTTCTACCCCAGCAGGGGGACTCAAAGCGGTTTACAATGACACATACATAGTGCCTCAGCAGATATAGTGGTATTTTTTGCCTTGATATTCTGGGTTATATGGCTGAGTGGAAGGACCCTGTGTTAAGTCCTCAATTAAAAGATTTTCAACCTGACTAACCCATGTTTTGTGGAGCAAGAATCAGCTTTCTAATAGCTGAAGCAGAGTTCTTTTGCTTTTGTTAAATCAAAGTGCCTGTTATTTTTCTGTATAGTGTTGGCTTAACCTACACTTATTTTGCTTAACTTCATACCTTTTAAAATATTTTTATTCATGATTATTAAATTTGATATGAACAAATGTGTTTATTGCATTTGATATGAACACAATTTTCTTTTAAAAAAACAATACAACTAAAATTATGAAAACAATCAGCAAATACAAACACCTAAACTATAAAAATTGACTTCCGGCTTTTCTACTAGTGATATAGTTTTAAATTTATATGAACTCCCACTGATTCTATAAACTTTATAAATCATTGTATTCCTTTGTTGTGAGCAAGAGTTAATTTTCAAACCTCACAAAAGTTATTCCAATCTTACTCTCCCTCAAAAATATAAGAAATGGCTCTCAGTCTTTCAAAAAGTAATTTGTTGACTTTTCTTTTATTAGCATAGTTAATCTATTTTTGCCATTGCAAATAGGTTTTGTATCCAGCTGTTCACCAGAGGGATCTCTACTCTTCCACAACCAAGCATAGAGTATTCTATTTGCCCTTCACAGTTGCTTTTGTCTGTTCCTCATCTGACCTGTTAACCGTCTCTCCAAAACAGTTTTCTTCTATTTTTACCTTTCTACCACAAGTTTTAAATATAGGTTGGGGAAGAATAGTTCTTTTAGCTGGGTCTACATAATTAATGGTTTTACATACCCTTTTTTTGGTACTGTTAATTTATTCCTAGGGGCAGATTAAAACAAAGAGCAATGCTAGAGAGCATTTCAAAAGTGGCAATACCAATTGCATTGTTCTGAAATTAATGTATGATAAACAACAGTGACTATTGTTTTTCTTTAAACTTTTGATTAACATCCATTATGTTGCTCTTCAACAAGTCATTTCCCACGTAAGTGTAGCAGTGTTTTCCATCAGCACATACTAACACTTATCAATGTTGTTTTGGCATATATACAATTTAGATAGTGTTTTTATTCTTTTAATATGACAATATGCTTACCATATGTAATTTATTTTCCTTTAAAGTACTGATTATGTTCTTGAAGCACATGTAGCAGTAGAGTATTGACAGATTTTCCCAAATTACTGCTGTTGTAGTGGTAAAGTAATATTAAAGTGTAGGTTGAAGGTGCAACTCACAACCAATGAGTTAATTCCTTGTACCAGCCCAATGGAGTCCCCAAATATCAAATCAATTGAGACCCTTGACTCTGCTCTCTCCATTCAGTTTTGTTTCTCCTGCCTATCCAAGCCAAGCTTTTAATTTCTCTCTCCCTCTATCACACTATTATTTTAATCAATCTCTCTTTAAGACTTAATTGGGTGATCTAAAATGATCTGCACAGTAAGTCGTGGCTTCTGTAGTTAGCGAATTAGTGAAAAAGAACCAGAAGCAGAAGGATTCGAAAGGTGACAAGGAAGATTTGCACTTGGCTTCTAAGAAAAGAAAGTGACAAGCAAAGAACAAAATTAATTTAATTAGCTCCCCCAGGACCACAAGCACGCAGGTCACAGAAGGCAAGAATGATACTCAGATTGGCACAAAAGGTCAGGTGACTGATGGTACAGGTGCCTCTGACTGTGTCGGAGTTCATAGTGAAGAAAATATTTATAGCATCAAGAGAAAGCAAAACTGGAGGCCATTCTCATCAGTATGAGATCATTGTAAGGCCAAAATAATCTGATTTTGAACAAGCAGTTAAGGTATGTTAAAAATCAGAATAAGTAAAGCTTCAGTTTGTACTGGGGAAGTCTTCACATAGTAATAAGATGTCTGCAGAACTTCCTGCTGTCTTCTAAAAAATTCAGGTTTCAGCCATAGAGGTGGGACAGAACTTAGAAGAGTGAGAAGACAGTTGGGGAAGGTATTGCTGTGAGCAACAGCACACAGTGACATTTCAGCTGTTTCAACTCAACAAGCACAGCTGGTATGGGGGAAAGCAGCATGGTTTCAGTTGCAAAAAGAAAAGAGTGCTTGCAATTAAGTTTTATAATATTTAACAATATTAATGGCAGGAAATATCTCCAAGCTACAGAAAAACTTCATTGATCTGGGAAAGGCTAGTTCAACAGCATAAATTTCACATCCCACTTTATCTGCAATAAGAAATATAGTAACATATATAATTAATGAGTATAAGTGAGATTCCTGCCATCTCTAAATGCTCAAAACATTTAAAACTCAATTTAAATGCTTTAACTGATTTAACTAATTTAACTCATTTGAGTAATTTAGCAGTTGGAGGAACTTAAGCAATTTCATGAATCCAACTCAGTTACCTAATGTCAATGTGAACATCATCATTATCATAAATTTTATTTGTTACCCACCCCTCTTCACATCTTGAGAAAATATAGTTAAAATACATGGAAAAAACAAAAAGGGGAGTAAAAAATATGTGTATTAAAAACATAGAACAAAGATTAAAACACAAATACTATTTGAATCAATAGTTCAAATTTGTCTTATCTGGATTCATTTTCAATTTGTTTTTCCTCATCTAGCCCATTACCTTCTCCAGGCATTAATTCAGAGGAGGAACACTATGCTTAGCTGAGGATGTTTTTGAAGGCAAGGAGAAATATATTTGGGCATCATCAGCATATTGATAGCACCTCACCCCATGCCAGTGGATGCTCTCTCCCAGTGGTGTTGTGTAAATGTTGAAAAGTATTGGGGATAAAATGGCCCCTTGTGGCATGCCATTGAACAGCTACTTTTTGGAGGATGAGCTATCTGCAAACTCTATAACTGTGACTGTTGCTAGTTCCAGGTAGAGTGGACCCATAGAAGCAACTGCCAAATGGAAAAACAGTAGTGATGTGAAATTCGCTGATTTTAAGAGGTCTACCCTCATTAAGTTATTTGAGATCAGGTAACTTACTTATATGGAACCTTTAGTATACATGCCAAGCTTCAGATAAGGTGTTGGGGCTGCTGCAGATATAGACACATGGAAACACAAGCTCTATTGTTATCATAGATAGCAAATTTCAATATTGGTTTCTACTGCAGCTTATGGAAGGATATCACCAAAGCCTATTTTGCTTTTTCTAGTGGTGCAATCTGTGCATTGACTTGGTAGCATTCACCAGTGAGATATTCAAAGGAGCCGTTTTCCAGTCACTGGATGGCATTATTGTTTCAGCTAACTGTAAGCTGCGAAAGATCTTCACACTGAAGTCAAAGCCCCTGGACAGAGCTGATGAAGAAGGTATGTTAACTCGGACCTCATGGAACTTCATTAGATTGCAATTCCAAGCTTGTCTGTCAAGCTTCTGTTATTAATTATCGGAAAGTTTAAACTATTTCATTGCAATTAATGTGAGCACAGGTCATGTAGCTCTCTTGCTCATGGGCTATCAGTGACATTAGCTAAGCGTGGTTGCAGTGTAGGTAGGCACTTAAGCACCATCTTCATTAAAACTGCATTGTGGAAAAGGTTCCAACTTTGAATTAGCATACAAAACTGCTAATAATCGTCTGGCAAGCTACCTGTAGCTAAGTATTTCATTAAGGATTGTGAAAGAGAACTTGTTATTAATTATTAGAGGGCTCTTCTACTGAGAGATATCATTTTCTCAAGGTGGCTTCTAGAGAGAAAGCTGCAAAGAGTATCCATATAATATTTAGCCATCATTAGAAACCAGACAGCTGAGGAAGAAACTAGATAGTTGTTGGTGAACTTCACATTAACTCTCTTCCCAGTATTATTGGTGGAAAAAATCGTATTACTTGTCAACAACATATTCATATTTATATTTAGCCCTGTTACTATATTTTAGTTATTTTTTCCTATGGTTCTATAAAATCTAAGCTAAATTTTACTCTTTGAAATGATGCCCCAGTCCCTCTTTCTACTCAGATCCACCAGCCTCCCAGCTCTTCCACACAAGGAAGCTTTAAGAAGCTTTTAGCCAGAAATAACTCGGAACCTTCTTTTGCTTGTTAATGTGAGCTTTGTCTGGAGTCTGTTCATTTGGCTAAATTTTGAATCTTTCTTGCTTTGCTTTTTGAACCCATTTTGATCTTGTTCTCTAGTTCCAATCAAATGGAACTATTTTTGATGTTCAGGATTGCATAGGTTTCTATCTGAGTGACACATTCCTTTTGGAGCAGGCATCTTGATTTAAAAGCCTTTCCTCCCATCTAACTCTCTGATCTTACACATTTTCCTTCTTTACCAAGCTTGTTGCCTCCCTGCCCAAGGAAGAAGTTTATCATTAAAAAATGTCACCTTGTACAAATCTATGCCCACTGCAGACATAATGATCTTGTTTGTGGAAATGTAAATATGGTAGAGTCTTGACTTGTGTTTTTGAAAAATCAGAACAATGGATTTGTTTTCCAGATCATGTACTGATGTGAATAGGGTTCCAAATCTAGGTGCACACATATGGTGGGTTTGCTATCTTCTATCTCCTTTACTTACCTCACCTAGTGTTACCTAGATGAACAGTAACTTTGGAGACTTTCCCCTTGGTACTTAGCATGGTAACATCTTAAGCAACAAGGATCTCAAGTGATGTAATTTTATAAACAGAGGAAAATTCTACTGTCTATGGCATCTGAAATGATTCTGGTTTGCATGCTGGTTGCTTCTGGATTGAGAGAACCCAGAACCTCAACCAATGGCTGATACCAAATGAGAAACTCCCCCCTGGGCACACAGAGGACTGGGCGATTTGGAAGGCGCTGAACAGACTGCGCTCTGGCACCACGAGATGCAGAGCCAACCTTCAGAAATGGGGCTACAAAGTGGAATCCTCGACATGCGAGTGTGGAGAGGAGCAAACCACTGACCACCTGCTGCAATGCAACCTGAGCCCTGCCACATGCACAATGGAGGACCTTCTTGCAGCAACACCAGAAGCACTCCAAGGGGCCAGATACTGGTCAAAGGACATTTAACCAACTACCAAACTCACACTTTTTGTATTTTCTCTGTTTGTTTGCTCTGTTCTGTTAGAAATGTAATATAATTGACTGGCTGCCCTGACACGAGAAATAAATATCTGAAACGATAATGCATAAAAAATTTAAATGGTGCCAGAGGCAAACTTGAGAATGCACTTTGAGTTGCAGAATTCCAGAACAATAATATTTGGATTCAGATAAGGCTGAATATTACAGACAGGATTAATTTTTATCTCAGATCACCACCTGACCAAACTTTGGTGGCACCATTAGTTGGAATATACTATGTTCAAGATGAGAAAGAGTTTTCATTATGGAAGGCAACAATGGATGATACCTAGGGGACGACGGCAGTCAGTGAGCTCCTGAAAATGTCTTGAAATTGTATTAGCTCTGCTTCTCAGGTGTAGTGAAATGGATCCCCACTTGGCCAGAATGAGGAATTGTCAGCGGCCATGGGCCTCCTCGTTGGCCATTAGTGGGAAAGGAGACAGATTTTGACGATTGCCTGCAATTAGAGTCTTCCCAGAACCAGGTGGTAAATTTTGGATGTCCTCATTAGTGAGCAAATGTATTTTGATTTTAACAGACTGTGTTTTCTCAGCCTATGCTATATTCCTGCAACTGTGATCCAAGTACTTTGCTCATTTTTAAGAAAAAGATGATACCGTAGAGATGCCATTTTAATTTTGTGTTTATTCTGTCCAGGTGATTTGAATTTGTAAGGCCCTAGTTTTCAACAACCAGCATTTTGTTTTTCAGAGAAATGCCATCTGTGCAGGCAGCTTTTTGCCATCCATTACATAGTTGATTTGTTATGTGTCAGTCGGGGATGAAGTCTGTCATATTGAAATGTTTATTGAGTGGTGGTCACAAGGGTGACAGCTGAACATGGTGCTTTACCAATTGAAGGCAAAAGAGAATCAGCATTGCTTTCCAATCAGGCCGATATGGGAGTGGATTCTGCCTGTATATGCTATATGATACAGGGCATAAGAACATAAAGATGAATAGCAGTATCTCTGCTTGTTAGGGTAGGCAGTGAGTGACTTGAAGTTTTTTATCGGATCATTTCCCATTATGACTGGGAGGAGGAGATTTGGATGCCTTCTCTATGTCTGATTTATGTTTGAAGACAGAATTTATTTAAAACATTTTACCCTGCCTCACCAGAGCTACAGCATGCTTGCATAATATTGTCATGCATCCATTTCAGTGTAATACAGTAAAACCCCACAGAATTTAAACAGACCAATACTATAACCCAAATTGCAGACAGTTATAAATAGGAGAAATTCATCAATAGCTTAAATCCTTCAGCCTTCTAAAAGAAAAGAAGAAACAGCCATGCTCCTCATCAGGAAAGGCATTCCAAAACTGTGAAATGAATGAAGTAAACAAACACACATTTCCTATACAGTAAATAGAGAACGAAAGGCATTCATCCACAGCATAAAATGTAGCTCTTACTTCTTTATTGGGATGTACATGTCGGACTTATCACCCTTCAAAAATTATAATGGATATCTACCTGAGTAAAAAAGTGCTGCAAAAAGGTAATCCTCCCCCACTACCTTTTGAATGCATAAGCACGTATATTTAAAGGAGTGATTTAATGTAGCTATTAAATCCTTGAATTCCCCAAAAGGAATTAATGATCACACCAACCAACAAAGTTTAGTTTTCATAGAACTTCATCTTGGAGACTATTAAGTGAAAGGAAGGAAAAGTAAATATGTTGATTTTGAGGCAGGATATAAATGAGATCCTCTAAGAATCTGCTATTATTATTATATTGTTCATAAATTCAGTTGAGGCAAGCTGTATGATGGTCAAGTTTGTGGATGCCTCAGTTATTTGAGATGCTGAAAATTGAAACAGAACTCCAAAATCAACTCTCTAGTTCAGGTGAATAATCAACAAATTATCAAATTTAAATAGACATAAAAGGATGTACATTGCTGCATTTGCTCTGTTCACCAGTTTCCAAAAAACACACATTCTTAGAGGCTGAGAATTTCCTTTCCATTACCTCTTAATGTCTTTCTGTAATAGTGGCCATTCCAGGTCTGAATTCTAAACCAATGGAAAATTTTTGCCAAGAAGTGAAGTGGTGGAGAAGCTCTCTTACTTTCTTTTTGTACTTATTGGGAGTACTTCTGTTGTGTCAGTAGTCAGTTCATCTGCCTGCAATCTTTCCATCAGATTGAAAATTAAGTAGGGAACTATTCCTCACCTTCCTCAGAGAAGTAAACCAGAATGTGAGAAGGAGGAAACCAGTAAATGGCACTTCCTGAGTATTCATATTGAAGAGGAAATGCTGATAAATTTACAGCTGTGGTAGTGACTGAATGTTTTTATTTTAAAAATGGGGAAAATGCTCTAATCTGTGAAACAATGCAGGCTAATTACCTTGCCATGGCTTTAGGAAACTTTCTATTCATTTTAATCAGGATTAGAGCAGTTAGACTGAGCCTTTGGGGCCATCCATGGAATTGGGAATCAGGTGAATAAGTAAATTTTATTCTGCAAATCTCTTTGGATATTACTCTGGAGGGTGAGCTGTATCCTCACATTTTGTTTTAGCATTTTATTTTCTTATTAAGCTATAAGCTACAAAGCTAATGCAGAATGATTTGTGTATTCAGCTGGTTCTCCTCTTGGCATCTCCCCTTTTTTGTAATTGAAGTTCTTTTGTTTGTTTTGTTCTAGTACTGTGGCATATTAGACAAAACATTGTTTCATCTAGGAGAGTTCTGCTGTTCAGTAGTAATATGCTTTTACATTGCTGCTTTCAACTTCGCTCTGTGAGTTGGGCTTGTCAAGTAGTATGCATGACTGAGTTTGCAGTTTCAAGAAACTCTCACCCCTCATGTATGCATTAAAATCATTAGCAGAGAAAGAAAAGTATTTCTGTTCTTGTTATTCCATGAAATGTGCAAAAGATAAAGAGGCTGTATTGCTATAACTCTGATAGACAGCATGGGTGTTGGGATTCATGCTGGAATAGAGATATGAGTTGCAGATTACCTCTCCATACCAAAGAGAAACTTCAGAGTGACTCGATAGTTAGGTGGGAAAAAAATCTACTTTTAGTCCTATTTTTTATGTTTTTCAAATGTAACAGAACTGTGACAAGAAGAAAGTCATTGCTGAAACCACATGAACAGCATGGATATATTAGATACTTCAGAGAAATCACCGTGATCTGAATTGTGAGACCAGCGAATTGTTCAGTGTATTTTAATTGCAAAACCCCTCCGCCCTGAAATCTAATTAATTCTTATCCCCATACATAAATTATTTGAATAGTAAGTTAACAGCAATCATGCATATGCAATTACGTTTCCTAGAAAAGATATAACAGCTGGTGATTAGTTGTAGATTTATGAAATCAGAAGGGCTGAGATCGTTGTCTTGTCCATCCCTCCTCTAAAAAGATAGACCTTCCATTCTTTATAGCCCTGTGGAGATTAATTTATCTGAGCCAAACAGGAGCCCTTTGATAGAATAACAGAGTTGGAAGAGACCACACCGGCCATCTAGTCCAACTCCCTCCCATGCAGGAAAAGCACAATCAAAGCATTCCTGACAGATGGCCATCCATCCTCTTTTGGATGGCCATCAAAGTGTGATTTCCACCAAACTCCAAGGCAGAAAGTTTCACTGTTGAACAGCTCTCAACGTCAGGTGGTTCTTCCTAATGTTCATGTGGAATCTCCTTTCCTGTAATTTGAACCCCTTGCTCCGAGTCCTAGCTTCCAGGGCAGCAGAAAACAAGCCTGCTCCCTCTTCCTTATGACAGCCTTTCAAATGATAAAACATGACAGCCATGTCTCATATCAGCATTATCTTCTGCACCATAGCTGTAGTATATACCATTTTGCTCCACTTAACCTGGAACATCCACACACCCCAGTTTACATATTACCCTATGTAGTTTTCTAAATTATATATGGCTAAATAACACAAATGATATACAGGCAGTCCCCAAGTTACAAACATTTGGCTTACTAATAATTTATAGGTGAGAGTGGGGATGAGACAAGAGGAAGTGAGAGAAGGGAAATTCACTCCTGAAAGAGTCATCAAGGGGGAAAGGTGTCTCAACTGAGGCTTTCTCACCAATCCTTGTTTCCACCAAAAGCCACATTTTTCAAAATCCCATTATCACAGGGATAGAAAGTGTGGTGAAATCTTCTGAACAGGGGCACAGACTGCAAAACAAACAACCACAGGGGTGCTAACCCTTCCTAATGCTGTCTTTGTGTGATAGAGATAGATAGATAGATAGATAGATAGATAGTAGGGTTGGGCGGTTTCGTTCGTTAATTTCATAATTCGTTATTAATTCGTATTTAAATTAGCTTACGATCCGATATCGAGCCATGCAGGAGTAATTAAAGATCGAAATGAATTTTTTCAATTTATTTCGTAATTGTTTTGTAATTGTTTCGAAATCGTTTCGTAATTGTTTCGTAATTATTTCCGTATGTCTGGTG